CTGCAAGGAGACTTTCCTTGCAGTATGCGAAGATGATGGTGAAGAGCTCCTCTTGTCTCTCTACCACCACCACCACCACCAACCACCACCACCACCACCACCACCACCACCACCACCACCACCGCCACCGCCACGACCAAAACCACCAGTGTTGCCATGAACTGCAACTAGAAAGATGCAAGTGACGACTACTGAGGCTGGTCAACCCTTCTAATTCCATTAGGGCTCGATCGTCACTGCGCTTGTGCTCACTGCACAACGCGAGGCAGCAGCCGGTCGCGAATGGTTCCTGAGTGTATTTGGGGTTTAGGGTTTATAGGGTTTAGGGCTTATAGGGTTTAGGGTTTAGGGAGTGTGCAGCGCTGCTCCACATTGGAACTTCCAACTGCGGCAGCATGGAGGTGGATGATGCGACATGGTTGCACTGTCCACGCAGGTTCAACGACGCTGACCTCACTCGACAAACAGGAAAAGATCGAGCAATTGCTAATTCGTTGCCCTAGCCTAAACAACCACAAGAGACGCCCTGTCTTCAAACATGGGCGTATGTATCGCCGCAGTGACAGCGAACAAAGCAATATACACACGGCGCTGTGTTCACAAGCACGTGCTCGTTGCTGGCAAAAGGTATAGAATCTTAGAAGCCCATGCCAGGTTCGGCCTTACTGCTTTGAGGGTTTTTGGGGATTCAGGGGTTCGGTCGGGAATGCCAAAAAATGTACCAAAGGGTCCAAAAATCGGTCTGGGACGAGGAAAATGCCCTGATGCTGGCTTCCGATCTTCGGATTCACCGGTTCCAAGCCCTGTTGGAAAAAGTGTACGGTTTAGGGTTTAGGGTTTATAGGGTTTAGAGATGCAGACAGGTTTTCGGCACCAGGTTAAACCCAAAAGAGCGAGGCCTACATGCCATCAGCCCTCAACCTCTCCTCCCTCAGCCCCAAACCCTGAAACCGTGAAGCTCAAAATTGATAACACAACCCTCTAGTTTAGGGTTTAAGGTTTGTAAATTTTTGAATTCTAAAGCGTACTCTACCGATAGGCCCTAAAGTAGTTCCTTGTTGGGGCTCATATCTAGAATCCTATAAAGTAACCGTCCTAAGGTAACCCCTAAAAGGAACTACTATGGGGCCTCTGGGTAGGGGTCTCAATAATTACCTATAGTATTTTGGGGTTCCTTATTATAATGATAGTAACATGGGCCCCAAAAACATATTCTATTTATTAAGGCCCCAAAAACCCTATGAGCGACACCATGCAGACCGGCGTCCCGACTTTCGTCGAGCAAAGCCCTGCGCAAACGCCCGCAGCCGCGAGACGCTGCCAGTGCCAGGAAGGCTGCTGCTCCTTATTCGGTTTAGGGTTTAGTGTTTAGGGTTTAGAGTTTAGGGTTTAGGGTTTCTTTCGCGTAGCACTCGTTTCTTGAACTTACAGTAAGGTTTCGTTTGAGACTCTCTGTCTTCGAAAGTTGGTTTTAAAGCGACTCGTCATATGATGGGCATTTCTTTTCGGCTCCGTGGATGTTGAGGGTCTACAGGTCATGGTCTAGGGTTGACAAAGACGACTACAGCTTGGCTAGGGTTTTTGACACTCACACTCGGACAAAGCCTGGCAAGGTCTGTAGCGATACTGGTCAGACGTCGAAACAAGAGAACTCACAGTAGGTTTCACTGAGGATTGAGTTCCACGTTGTCAGGCAGGGCTTGCCAAAATGCCCAAAGACAAGTGCGCAACCAAGGGTTTAGGGTTTAGGGCTAGGGTGTATAAGGTCTCGGCGCTTACACTCGGACTCTCCAAACGGGAGTGTCTGTGTCCAGTTGTCTACTGAGACACGCCCCATCTCAACAACATCAGCGGCTGTTAGCGAAACCAAAACTTCAAGCACCTGAACTCTAACTCACCACAGGAGGACATAAACCTTACCAGGCCATCAATGCAGGACTCCAAGATCACGACGACCACGACGGTGACGACGACCACTATCATTGCTGCTGCTGTTTCGTCGATGCCGCTTCTGCTACCATCAGCAAGAGTCAGCAACGTCCGTTCTGTTCATCTAAAGGCTGATCCAGCTCATCACTGAAAGGAATTGCCGATTCACTGCGTTACTCGCTAACCAAGCCCTATTGCTTGCTTGGTTGTCCGCTTGAACCCAAGCATGACAAATCCGCAAACTCATGCAGGCCCCTAGGGGTTTGTGGTTGGCATGCGATGTCGGGAGCTATCTGATCTGGCAGTGCTCACTCGGGTGTTCACAGGCGCGTGACTACTCTGCACAGACACACCTAGTGTCCCAGCGACATGGCCCTCTGTTAGCATGATAGGTATGCATGAACCTTCATTATGACGTGTACATCAGACTCCCTTACGCATACACTGGCGCGGAAATTCCCTATACTGCAAGTACATGGCCACATGTTAGCATGATAGATATATAGAGATAGATCTTGGACCTTCATTATGACATGTACATAAGACTCCGTTGCCGTATGCACCGGTACCCTTGAGGAAGTTCCCTATACTGCAAACCTGAAACCTCAGAGCAAAACCATAACATCGCCATGCTTCAACTCTGCGCCCCAAAGCTACATTGAAGCGAGCTGAGTTCTGACCTCATCTGGAAGTGGGCCACGCGAGCGGCAAGGCGTCTATGTGAGGGCTTATGTAGGAAGCAAGGATAAGGTGGTTTGGGAGGTGCTTCGTGCCAGCTCTGTAAGACGTTTCCTCGAAACTTCGCTTTCCAGCATTCGTAGTGGTGTCTAGAAAGCAGTGGGAGCCGAGGTGTTATCCACGATAATCGTCTATGCCGCTTGACGGTCAACAACCTCCCAAAATTTGAAATACGCCGTTAGCTGTCAACGGGGATACTCTACCATGTGGACAGTATACCCCTCCACTTATAACTTATAACGGTAACTGGGCTTCGAGACTTCTGTGGTTGCGACATCGCAAGCTAGAGGATTCCTGGCAGGTGCGCCGGCGCTTTAAGCTCTACAATGATATGTGGGCTTCCGGAATAAGGGGTGCCTTACTTTGGGGGTCCTTATACTAAGGATCCTACTATTTAGGGTACTATATCAGGGTCCCCTTTTTTCAGAAACCCCTATATGGTCCCAAGGCTCACAAAAGCCTGCGTGAGGATCTCCGGGCCCCACCTGCTAATGCAGCTTGTCTGAACACTTAGTAATCATCATGCCCCTTTGTAGTCCCATGAAACGATAGCATACATGCAAACGATTTGCACATCTGCAAGCCCCCAGAGTATACATTCCAGCCGAATTGTGGTACACTTTCCCGCTCAGGAACCGGAATCTAGGCCGATTTTCCCATGGAACTCCTCTCCTTATTGAGCGGAGGTTCTGTACAACCTTGCAACCTGCCGGCTCCTACCATTTTATGTCTGGGCCTCATACCTCCTGCTCGAATCTGCAGATCCTACATCCTCAACTATGGCCACGGAGGGTTCCCTGAATTTTCTACAGGTACGACTGGCCTGAGGTTCTTCATATGGGTCCCATGTGAAGAGTGGCTCACCAAAAAACTCAATCAGAACCACAAGCTGCGTCTAGGAGCTGGTGGCTACCTGCTGGGCGAAGACACGGAAGCTGTGGCGAGGAACTGGCATCACCTGGGACGTCCCTCCCAAACTCCAAACCAAAAAGTCTGCCGAGCCGCCACATGACATGACTGGTTAGGCTGGTTTTTTGGGCTCACCTCTGAACTTCGAGGATGTCGATCTTTCCATAATCTTATGGAATGTACTAGACTACAACTATCCCAGGTAAGTGTACCATAATTTTATTATGACCCTGATTGAAAAACCGGGATGCAAATATCTAGGTTCATACACCGAACCCTAAGAACTACCCAGGGCTTCTTCATCAGGCTCCTGTATTAGTGTGCTACACAAAAAGCTGAGATACGCTCCAGGTTCCCGAATGAAGTACATCAAGTATAACCCCGACATCTACTCTAGTTGCTTGTGCAGCACCTGCGTCGCATCTGATATGGCATCCGTGTTTGGCACGGCAATCTGTTGGAGGCCCCGTAGGCTCATGGAGGCTGCTTCAAGTTTCATGGGGGTGCCTTGGCGGTTCTACAGCCTTTTTGAGCAGGGTTTAGGGTTTAGGGTTGAAGTTCACAGCCCTAAACCCCTAAACCCGTTCAAGGTCCAGGATATCATAAGGAGTGCCCTTGGTTCGGTCGGGGGCCAAGCCCGCTCCCTTACATCCACGAGTCGGAAAGCGCATCTTTCAGAATTGACACTTCCGCATTAAGGGGGATTGCGAAAGTCAAAGGCAGATGTACTAATACGCTACTGCAGCTTTGAAGAGCCACCATCCACATTCTTATTGAAGTTCTTCCTTGCAGATATCCTGGTTTAGGTTCAAGGTCGAGACTGAAGCAAAGACCGCTGGGCGTGGAGGTGCAAGCAATATAAACACACGTAGAAGGCTTAGGGTTCAGGGTTACCGTTAGAAAATCAGACGAACAGGACCGATATGAGCCATCGTAGTCCTGCGAGCCACGACTCCTCAGACCCGACATCATGATCCAAGACATGTGCTGGCTTTTGGGTTCAACGGGGGGGGGGGGTAGGGACTCTATCCAGTGAGTTTGTTCATATCAAGCTCCTAAGCCCTAAGCCGAAGTTTTCAGTTCTGGAAGCTTTCGGGTGTGGGCACCCCACTGTTGAAAAGCTGTTTTAGGGTTTAGGGTTTAGGGTTTTAGGGTTTAGGGTTTAGGGTTTTGGGTTTAGGGTTTAGGGTTTAGGGTGGCGGGCCGGACTGAAGCGCCCCTGCGGATTTCACATGGCCTAAACGGCTTAGCTATAAAAACTATAAGCCCTATAAGCCCCAAACTAAACCCTAAAACCCCAAGACCCCAAAACCCTAAAACCCTAAACCCATAAACCCTAAAACCCTAAACCCATAAACCCTAAAACCCCAAAACCCTAAACCCCTCAACCCCAGAAGCCCCAACCCCATAAGCCCCAAAACCTAATCCTGCTGAGGGCGAGTGGCGGCCTGGCTCTGAAGCATGGCAGGGCACCACCGGACAGCGGATGGGTTTGTTTCTGAACTCGGGTTGGTTTAGGGTTTAGGGTTTAGGGGTCTAGGGGATTTAGGGAGTCCCCTAGCTGAGCTTTGGGTTTGGGGTTTAGGGGTCTAGGGGATTTAGGGAATCCTCTAACTGGATTTTGGGTTTAGGGTTTGGGGTGTTAGGCCTTCTGAACTCGGGGTTTAGGGGGATGTAGTGGATTTAGGGTCCTCAAACTGGATGTTGGGTTTAGGGGTTGAAGGGTTTAGCGGATTTAGGGTCCGAAAGCTGGATTTTGGGTTTGGGGTTTAGGGGATTTAGGATCTAGGGTCCCAGAAACTGGATTTTGGGTTTAGGGTCTTGGGGTTTTTTAGGCTTCAGAGGGTCCTCAAACTGGATTTTGGGGTTTAGGGTTTGGGGTTTTAGGCCTTAGGGGGCCCTCTAACTGAATTTTGTTTTTTTTTCCTGGGGTTTAGGGTCCTCTGACTGAATTTTCGGTTGAGGGTCTGGAGTCTTGGGGGTTTTAGGTTTTAGGGTCTGGGGTGCGGATTTTCACACCGATCCAGGTGCACTTAGCTGTCCAGGTGCAGACTAAGGCCAGCACGTCTTACAAAATCCATCTGTGCTTGATGCTGGGACGGCACACAAAGGCGCGAATCGAAATGCATCTGCCGTTGAACAGCCTTCGATTCAAACAAGTACCTCCTCGCACAGCTGCTCGGTAGAGCCTCAATGCATAACAAGTGATGCTGTAGCCTGCTGCATTGCTGAAGGGTGGGTTTGCGAGGGCTTAAAGCTTCGCACCTCCTGCCTGTCATGCACAAGGGCCATGTCCGCTGCAAACCGGATCATGGAAGGCAAGCATTAAGAGTGCCTCTCCCGGACCCTTTGCCCAACTTCACCTAGAAACCAAAGCCCCTGAAAGAGAGAAGGGCCCACCGAAAGCTTTCGTGGCATCCAGCTCATGCCTGCTGCGAAAAAAGAACCCACACCCTCGCAAGCCACTTGGCGAATTATTCTGCCTTCCACCTGTATAGAACATATGCATGAACGTATGTATATACGTACGTATGTACATGTGTGTGTGTGTGACTAGGTGTATGTGTGTTTCGTTGACGTATGTCTATCTATCTATCTATCTATCTATCTATCCATCTATCTATCTGTCTACCTATCTATCCGTCTATCTATATAACGATCTATCAACCTATCGGTCTATCGATGTATCGATCTATCTATCTACTTATCTACCTACCTACCTACCTACCTATCTACTTATCTATCGATCGATCTATCGATCCAACTCTCTATCAGTCGATCTATCGATCTATCTATCTACGTCTCTATCTATCGATCTGTCGACCTATCGATCTATCGATCGGTTTTTCTATCCATCTACCTATCTATCTATCTGGATACATAAACAGCTCCATTTGTGCACTTGTGTACCGAAAGATGGGGCCATGGGGTGATTAGATAAGTTCACATGTGTCTCAAGGGCAAGAGCATCTTGTATGCCCCAAAACGTGAACCTAATTAGGGTTTAGGGTTGGGGTTTAGGGTTTAGGTAACCCCTTTGCGCCTAAACTAGCTAGAAGACTGCCGGCACGGCGGGCTTCGCTTACAACCCTAAGCCCTCTGTTTCGTTGCGGCATCCGTGAAGCAAACATGCGAGCCTCCGTGGTGACGCCAGGCAACTCAGCGGGAAGCACAGATACAAGAGATCTTGATTGAGCAACAGTGAGGCAACGTGTACATCACGTGGCCCTCCCAAAAAGTCAAGGGTCCTCATCAAGTGCTGTTGCCTCTTGAGCTGTCAGTGCGGAACTGTAGAACTGATCCTCTACACAGTAGTTAAACTGCCCAAACCTAAGCCGACCATCGGAACCCGGAACATGGAACCTGTAGAACCTCGTCATATCAGGATGGACATGGGGAATTAAACAAGTTCATGTAGCGGCGTTGGGATTGCGCTACCAGAAGCAGCCAGATCTCCTAGAAGCAGTCAATTTTCAGGGGCCGGGGTCGAGGGTTTTGACATTGAAGCAACAACAAACAACCCTGAGCCGTGGATGCCAAACCCAGGGACCCAGACCATCGAATCCAATATCATGTAGCCCAAAGCCCTGCATGAACCCTAGATACTGCTAAACCTTGAACTCTAACTGTAAACCCTAAACCACACATAAGCGCAGTATTCCTTCTGTGCCCAGAAAACCACACATAAGACATAAGCGCAGTATTCCTTCTGTGCCCAGAAACCCTTAACCACACAGAAGCGCAATATTCCTTCTGCGCCCAGGCGCTGCAGAAGTCAGCGGTGATGTCATGGGAGCCTTGGAATCACGTTCGGCCGAGGGGTCGGGCTCCCAGGTTGAGATTTGCTTGTAATGTAGGATCCTTGATAATTAGAATAGGGTTTTGGGGTACTACATTCTACTATTAGGGTTTAGGGTTTAGGATCCTTGATAATTAGACTAGGGTTTTGGGGTACGGCCCCCCAAAATACCAGGATAAGAGCCTCAGTGAGCAACAGAAGCACAGCACAGCTTAAGGCTTAAGAGTTTAGGGTTTAGGGTTTAGGGTTTAGGGTATAGCCCTCTCAGATGATGACAACACAGCAGGCAGCAATACTACACTAAGCACGAACATATCTATAGTCTCCATTGTAGTTCCTTTTGGGGATGCCTTATAAAATCTTACTATATAATTGGTTAAACCCAAAAAAGGGAACTACAATGGATGCTATAGGCTGACTATAGGTATGTACTAGCGACGATGTGACCTCAGCTCCCCTAGGCGCACAACCGGACTAGCGAAGGTCCCCGGGACCCACTCTAAGAGTCTACCCATAGGCCCTAAAGTAGTTCCTCTTTGGGGTTCATATATAGAACCCTATAAGGTAACCCCAAAAGGCAAAAAGGAACTACTATGGGTAAACACTGCAAATACCAAGGGGTTGAGGATGAGGTGGGCACTGTGCCTAGGGCTCAAAACTTGCAGGTAAAGGCGTTCCTCCGGTACCAGACACCAAAGCACCGCACCCAAGACCTGTAGTCGTTGTGATCAGAAGACTTTGGGGTAGTTTCCTAAATTAGGGAGGGCCCCTTTTTGGATCCCCAATATAGTACGGCACCCTTATACAAAGGACCTTAAGGGGACCCTAATTTAGAGAACTACCCATTGAAGCTCCACTTCAAGTTCTTAAACCATAAAGAGTGAACCTCTGCAATACTCAAACCCAGGACTCGAAGTACAAACCGCAAGATTTCCACGAGCACACCTAAGACACAGTTTAGGGTTTTAGGGGTTCAGGATTTAGGGTTTCAGTCTGCCTAAAGCCTAAATCCGATCTCTTACAGCACCTGAAACTTGGCAGGGTTGGGTAGAATCTACCTTCAGCCCCAAAAGCCTTGCAAACAAAAATAAAAATAACATGTCGTGACCCGCAAGCAGATGTAACTTTTCAGGAAGCAGGCTCGAACCCCTCGTTTTTTCTCCACATGCCCCGAAAGGCCTCAAGTACAATACCCTTCCGGAACCCTTACGGAAGCCTGATGCCATAGTCTATGGTACTCTTACAGAGCC